TTCTGACATATCACGACATAGTATAAGTTGCCTCTTTACAATTATTTTATTTTATTTTAGGATGTAACAAATATATAATTATTTTTGCTACTAATTATTAAATTATTTTCTTCCACAATTAATGACCAACCCTACCTATATTGTGATTGATTTTTTATGATACAAAAATTGAAAACATTTAACAAAACTTTGCTTTGTGATTCCTACGTTCCCTGTTCTATTAGAGCAAGGGAACTAATAAGCACACATTGATGTAGCCCAATGTTAGAGTTTGTCTTTGACACACCCACGAATATTAGCGCAGCTGGAAAAGGTGAATCAAAACTTGGACACATAAATTTTTACCCTAAAGATTTCGTTAGACGTCTTTTCAAAATTTATGCAGCGGTATCTTTCTTGAGCTCAATGTTAATGAAGAGTTTTCTTAGAAACTGTATGACATCTTGCAATTTGTAAATTAAGTTTCATGTCCCTATCAACAAACGTGGATGGATTGATCACACGTTCAGTGTACATTCCATAATACTCTAATCTTAGCGAACCCGTAAACAAAGCTGCACAGTCCCTTTATTGAGTTGTGATGGCAGTAAAGTGTTTATAGTGGATTAGCAGAACCCCCCTAAAACGTTTTCAGCCATTAAGGAAAGGAGTTTAAGATAGATCAGTATGGCAGATCTCGAGTATTATTATTTTAAAAATACAAAAAGAAGCAGTAAAAGCAACTATTTTTCCCAAATTCTAAACTTCTGAACTCATCATTTCTTTTTTTCTCTTTCCAAATTTATTTCACTGGATAACACTCCTTGAATAACATCTTCAAACCCTAATCTTTTCGATTATTGTTTATACTTTTACTAGCTCTACCACTATGGGATTTGAATCGACAATTGTATCTCCATTCTAATGTGGTATGGCAACTCGAATTGCTGTACGTACGTACGGAGTTCTACATTGTTACTGATTGAAAAGCAACTATTTATAGAACATAGTAATAACACATTAGCAGTATCGTAATCAGTCAAAAAGTGAATCTTCATTTCATTTGTAACAATGTAAGCTTCTTTTTCAGTGAATAAATAAACCAACTTCAAATTTATACGACTTTAAATAGTACATTCAAAAAAATGACTTCAAATACTTAGTACGTCCAGAACAAGTCCAGTCTTGTTAATGCCATGATATTTAGATCCTATAGCATGATTTGTCATGATATTTACAGAATTAATATATGTGATTACTCGCTAATTACGAAGTAACAAACGTTTGTTTGGATACTCCGTAAATAAATAATCGATTTTATTTTCTTCGATATTTACATATTCCATTCTTCAGTCAATGATTCAAAATATAGCAGGATAATGATTCCGGAAACAATTTTTCGAATTATTTATCATTCGTGCTATCTCAATCGTGTCAGCATTATATTGAATTGTTGAAAAACATAAAGCAAATAAAGAAGCCGAAGTATTTCAGGCATTTATTTGTTTAAATGCATGTTGCAATTCATGATCAGAATGAATTTAAATAATGTAAATAGAATGCAGTACAATACAAGACTACATTAAAATGAACATAAACTGGTGCGATTTATTTACATTTCTTTTGAATTTATTTTATGAATAATTATAGTTTATATTGTATATTTGATTGACCTAATGACTAGAGTATACGAAAATCACTCATTTGTTAACCTATAAGTTCATATAAATCTAATTTATTTTGATTTTAATAAATAATCATGATTGTGATCAGTTAAACTGTAGATGAGACTGTAAAAAATATCATAAAATTTTGGTGGAGTTTTGTTGTCTGAGCTGGATGGTTTGGTCGTGGAGCTTCAGATAGAAGTTTGTGTTGATGATGTCGTTCAGAAGAACGATGAAAGCTCCACGACCAAACCATTCAGCTCAAAGAATAAAACTCCACCAAAGTCATCCACCTGAGCTACAAATCTTCTCCACCATCTCAATATCATAAAAGCTACTTCAATAATACGCTTTCTAAACGTTAATGAGGTTAAGCCTTTGAGCGTGAGACAAAAGATCTTGGATTCCAGTCCCGAGTGCAGGATCGTGTATGTGCACTGTCATTGAGGAGTCCTATACTAGGACGAAATGACCGTTCAGTGCTTCCAAGTTTACAATGATGGTCTAATTTAAATACACTCGTGAATTCAATCGTTAAAGTTAATGAAAACTTAAAAATGATTAATTAATAATACATCTACTATCTATTGGATTAATGGATTTATTCTAAACTTTGAATTGGTTACCTTCAGTAGTCAATAGCAAACAAAAAGTATTTTTTAAAAAACATTTATGGACAGTGAATTCATGTTCATTTCTACATTGCCAATGTAATTGACATAATGATCCCATATATCATGGATATTTAACATCAAGTAGTCGAACTTCGAAAAATAATAAGTTAGAAAATTATAAATAACTGGTAAAAAATTGTAAACTTATGATGAATCAGCTTTTATTCATGAATGAATACGTTTACAATTTACTTTAGGTGACATGATGTATTACATAATCAATGGTTTCGTTACTTTTTCTAGCTAGAGAAATGAGATATTTCGAATAAATTACAGGATATAATGAGTAAATTATTGAGAGACATGTTTTGATGTGATATGACAATATCACAATTTAAAAATGTAATGAGAACTAACAATCAAACAACCACTTAAAATAATTTTATATATTACAATGAAACAGTTGTCCAATGCTGCCTAATTTTCTATGATTCATTAGTTGATATGGGTAAGTAACAAAAATCATCATCTTAATGATATATGAATATACACTTCTTAACTTCAAAAATGTACGTCTGTGCATTTCAAAAGAACAAATGTTATTGTCTGATTGTAAAACATTTTAAGTTTAGTCATTTATTCATGTCTATCTTTCTGGAATATTAAAGAAGGAAAAAGAAGAAAAATATACATCGTATTTGAATGTCAAATTGAAATAGAAAATTAAGTATTTTTAAAAACTTTCCATCAATTTTGATTTTAGAAAGAAAAATATATCAGTATAGGTTCGTAGAGATTATTAAGTTTTTGACTGAGATCATGAAGTGATTGATATTAGGCCACTATTGATAACCTGGAACCGCTGGACGGTCATTTCATCATACTGTAGGACCTGTGGGTTTGAATCCCGCGAGCGGGACAGTTGATGCCCACTGCTGAGAAGTCCCACAATAGGACGAAACGGCTGACCAGTGCTTTCAGGTTATCAATGGTGGTCTAACATCAATCAGTTCATGATCTCAATCAAGTAAAAAAATAGTCAAAGAAATTTACATTTTAAGATTGAAATGTTTTATAATTGCTATTATGAATGAATTATTTTAATTGTATCTATTAGAAGAGATGAAGTCTATTTTATTAATTTAATACGAACAATAAAGTAGAATAAAAGACCGGAATTGATCAAATGGTATTGTAAATATCATACAAAAGAGGTAAAAATGTGACCTTTTTTAGAAAAAATGTTGTTTTTCTTCTACTTCTATCTCTACATTATGCTATTAGGTTTTATTATTATTGCAGAAAATAAATTGGTAAAAAGAAAACCTGATTTTTCATAAATAGATCTGATGGGATACTGGAGATATTCAGAATAAGTTATGATTTAAATCAGCTTCGGATATTCTACATGTTGTCAAGGCATTTGAAAATACCATAAGAAACAAATTGACGTAGAAGTAAAACTATATTATTTTCATACAGCCGAATATCCTGACAACATGAGCTTAAGAATAACATTTTAAATCTGTCTTGGGAAATCTTCAATAATACATTAAATTTACTCGATTACAAATGATTCGCATCATCATATTTTTTGATATTTTTGACTGATATTTGATCAGTCTTGCTTCGGGATATGAGTATCCTGTAACTAGCCTCATTCTATTTATTCTATGTCAACATTAAATTCATGTTTAAATCGATGTGAAATATTTAGGGTGAGACTTTATTTCTTTAAATCATTAAACTAATAGTTATAAATAAAAACTATGGGATACTCACTACAAATATGATTTACGACTGATTGCATCATGGTAAAGTAGCAAATTTAATATACCATTTTGGACAAATTCATCCTACAATCATCAATTTAAGATATTAAATTTTGATCGGACAGTTATTGAATGGGCCCTTTAGAAGAACTACAATATATAGGGCAATACACAAATATTCTAACCATAGCTATCCTAATGAATAGCCAGAAAAATAAAACAGCAACTTCAATCAATTAAACATTCAGTTCTATCGGGCACTAGCCTAATGACCAGACATAAATTAAGTGATTAGCTGACTCATGCGGTATATATATAAGTTGGAAGACTGAAATGTCTGATTTAAATCATGGTGACACATGACTCAGTCTACCGTAACAATTACTCATGTTTGTCAATGTTAGTTGTAGAAACTAACCCATGTATTGAGCAAGCTTGTCGATTGAATGAGCAAGAAAATTTTAGAATTTAAGTATCTAACTTTTTGTTAAAGGTTTAAAATATGATAAATTTCCTTGCACTCAAATGTGGACATTGTTATCTAAATGTTTCAGTTGTCTTAACGACATATGGAAATTATTATTACTTATATGAATCATCCAATTAGTAGTCAAAAAAAGGAATTTTGTTTTCAACATTGTTTACACTTTTAAGTCAGTAGGATGTCTTAAAGTGATGGTCATCCCAATTACCATTAGGTAATGGTTAAATTCAAAATATATTTCGTCATATTTGAGATCTGTAAGTTAGACTCATGACTTCGAAGGTCTAACATACTGCTACTTAAACGATATGGTACAGCACAACTTTCCTAAGCAATAGTGATTCTGATGTTTGGTAGCTTGTTTTTCTTCATCAAATAATAGATTTATCAGCATCCGTACAACAATTTTTCCATTAGGATTCGAACATAATAGGACCAATGATTTCGGATAGTTATTAGGACATCTACATAGTTTTATACTTACTGACGTCTGTTACGCTTCGTGGAGGCCGCCCACAAGCACTCTACGTCCAACCCTGTTTGGGTAATCCATTCCAGATGCTATTCATTCTTTTTATGTCTGTTTCCAACTATCAACTATCAACTGTGTGTTCATTGGCCCCTTTTTTAAAAACTTTCAAACATTTACTCTTTCACTCAGAATTCAAAATTAGCACTTATACAATTCGTTCGTAAGAAAAAACAGTACATATATCAGTCATCTTTTCAGATTGTAAACTCAGAAATCAATAAATCACTATAGGAAAAATGTACAATAGTAAAAATGTGTTTGTTTTAATTCAAAAGGTGTTCAATTTTACCATAACTCAATTTCTATTTCAAATCACTGGGATCAGAATTTTCATGAATATGCTCGAAAAACAAAATCCGTTTTAGAAACTTTTAAATTAAGTTAATCCTGTAAACTGACAAATATAACAACAGTATTTTTGAATCAAACCCATGTTAACCAGTTATTCTACGTTTCAATGGACAATCCTTTCCAGCTCCTTCCAGTTGTCATTCATCGCTTTCATATCTGCTTCTATTTCTCAATAAAATGTGTTCTTCGGCCTTCCTCTTTTCCTCTCCCCTTCAAGATTTCTAGTTAGTGCTTGCCTCGTGATGCAATGTGATGATTTCCGTAATTTGTTTCTTATCCATTTCCATCGACTTTTCCTAATTTCCTCTTCAACTGGAAGCTGATTCGTTCTCTCCCACAGAAGGCTGTTGCTGATTGTATCAGGCCAATGTATGTTGACTATCTTGCATAGAAAACCATTTATAAATACTTGCACCTTCTTGATGTTGATTGTAGTAGTTTCTCAAGTTTCAGCTCCATACAGTAGAACTGTGTTGACGTTGGTATTGAAGATTGTGACTTTGATATTGATTGAGAGTTGTTTTGATTTCCACATGTTCTTCAATTGTGGGAATGCAGCTATCGTTTTGCCAATCCTTGACTTCACATCTGTATCAGATCCTCCTTGTTCATCGATGATGGTTTTCAGGTATGTGAAGGATTCTACATGTTCCAGAGTTTTGCCATCAAGTGTGATTGGATTAGTGTTGTCCGTGTTGTATTTGAGGACCTTGGTTTTCCCTTGTGTATTGAGACTGCTGCTACACTACTTGTCTTCATCTGTATTTGTTCGTGTGTATGGGATGGATTGGCCAGGTCATCTGCGAAGGCCAAATCATCTGATTGATTTTGAGCTGTTCATTGTATTCCGTGCTTTTCTTCAGATAAGGTCTTCATAATTCAGTCAATCACCAGAAGAAAACGGGAAGGGGAGAGTCAGCAGCCTTTTCTGATTCCGTTTCTCAATTTGAATGCATCTGTCAGCTGTTCTCCGTTCATGACTTTGTACTGTAGTCCGTCGTGTGAATTTCGTATGATGTTGACGATGTTTACACGTATCCAGTTTTCTTTTTTCTGTAGTTACTAACCCTTATCTAATTATGTCTACATACATGATATATATTATGAGAAAATTTCCACCATCATTTGGAATTTCAAATTCAATTTAAGAAGTTCCTTATTACATTAAATTATTTTAATCTAGAATAAAGAGGAAGAATGTATTTGGAAAATCTCAGCGAAAGAATTTGAAGTAAATCCAACGTTTCGCCTGGCAATCTGGTTTAAGCTTTTTCAAGGAAAACATAACCAAACAACAAAATTATATATAATTTTTATCAGGAAACTTTAAACAATTTAAAGATTTGATCTGAAATAATGCAAAAAATTTCCAAAAACAGTTACCTGTACAGGGATCTGTACAGTGAGGTCATATTTTATCAGTTAGTTAACCTGTTAATTCTAAATGTAGATTTCTAAATAATAGTTCAACTATCTGAAAAGTGTTGATATATGATTTATGCACATTTAAAAATTCTTTGAATTAGATCAATTCTAATTCCTCGTTTCTATGTAAAACCAACAGTTAAATACAATTCAGTCTATTTTCAGATGGACTAGTGATTCTAAATAAAGCAAATCAATGTAAATGTTAACATTTTCCTGAACTGATTTCGTTTATTTGAGACTCTGAAAGTAACAACTTGAATAAAAATTTTGGTTAAATATTCCTAACAAAACAGCTTAGAATACATTATCAGTGTGTGGTTGTGGAGATTGTTAGATTTTTGATTGAGATCATGAATCAATGAATTTTAGACTACCATTGAAAACCTGGAAACACTGGACGGCCGTCTCGTCCTAGTACACGATTCCTCATCAGTGCGCACCAACGATCCCGCAGGCTGTGTTAGAACACAAGACCTTTGGTCGCACGCACTAACGCTTAACCTCTAGATCACTGCACCTGCGTACAACGGTGTTAATGTCTAACTCCAACCAATCTATGAAATTGTGCGATCACCTTCCACTATCTGAGATTGATACCTGTCTCTACCTGACACGTATTACCCCGTTGGTCATAGTTATGGAAAAGTAAATGAAGCCGTACATATATGCTAGTACCTATCAGTATACGAATCTATTAATATTTCTGTTTGACTGTCAAGCTGTTCGATAGTCAAGAGAAAATGCAGTAAGGATTGTTGATAAGTGTTTATAAAATTTAAACCGAATCCAAATTCTGATAACTTCCAGAATCATGGTTATAAAAACCAAACTGAAACAACGATAGAACCCTAGTCAAATTAGTAATCGTCATTTAGTTTCAAAGTAGTTATTAGTTTGAAAATAAAGGTTAACAATTCACACTAAACTTGATAATAACAGACCTATTTTAAGCTGCATATACACTTCAGAAGACGTGTTATGTTTTGAGTGTGGTGAATAAGATGAAAAATATCTTTTAATGACTATAGTATATCTGACAATATATATCATACGTGGTTAAAATTACATGCAGGCCAGTGACTCATTCTAAGCAAGAGTCCATACTGATATATAAAATAATAAATTAAATCGGTGTTTGTAATAAAAACATCAACTTTTTCATGACTTACTTCCCGTTTTGCTTATAGTTTATACACTAAGGTATTCACCATCGTAATTAACACCAGTGCATCTTTGATCAAAATGCATTACCATTTTTACTATTACAGATTAAACAAATCAACCAATCATAGCTAACTTAAATATGATTGGCTGAATTCAAGGTCAGTCATGAAGAGAAGATAATCGAGTTTTTGACAACAGTAACTTATCCTTGTCTTATGGTATCAGTTTCAATACATATTGAGAAGAACTTTTCATAATGTATGCTAATGTTGAACAAATTTCTCTCCTCCCCTAAATTGTTTATCGACCGTGTCTATGAATCCATATGAAAATGATCAATAATAACCATAAGTCTATAATTTCTAAATCTGAATCGTAATGTATTTCTTAATTTTGTACAGAAAGTCTATTTAACCTAATACATTAATTCAATTTCCTTACTACTGGTAAAATTTAGGCCATGAAAAATGTTTTCAAGTAACATTAATGGAAATTTAATTTAAACAATCCTTCTGTTCTTTGTTATTCATATCAAGGCTAATTTTTGAACTCTGGTAATGGAACTCAACAAGATGATCTTATCGAACAAAACACAATACATAGATTGTGCAATAAGTTTGAAATATTTAAAGCATGAATTACTTCATCTTCCTATTGTTATTTAATTTGTTGAATACTATTTACATAATACTTGGATGAACTAGGTTATTTGCTAATCAAATAAATATAGAAGGTATGATTATGATAAATGGACTAGTGGATATTCTTAGCGAAAATCCTTCCACAAAGTTATAACCACAAATTTTGAGAACTATTCTGCAAGTGAATCATGAACTGTCATACTGTTTATTTATATCCTCATTAAATTCATTTCCTTGTCGTGCCATTTATTCTTTATTTAAAAGAATCAGTTTGAAATCTTCACTAGCACAATGAGAGAAATGTCTGGCTTTTCCGGTTATTCAATCTATATTGAACGTGGTAATTTTACTTAGGGAGTCAGCATTTCCTTTCTCATAACAGCGTGATTCATGGTTTGTTTTTCTTGTCCACCTTTCTGTCATAATATCACGCCACAGTTTATTAAATATTCACTAATAGGATTTTTTCAAGAAGTTAGGCTGATCTTGAATTGCACCTTGTCAACGTACAAGTTAAAAGCTGTGTACTCTGTCCTTATTAAATATTGCATTCTTACATCTAAATAACATATGCTGTTTCTTTTGTTTGCTGTATGATAGCCCTTTCCAGGCCTCACTCCGTAGTATATTACAAGGTGTGGGGTAGAAACGTGAATTGAGTCGACAAGATCTTTTACAATTATTTACTTTTGTCAATCACAGGACTGAATGAAAAATGTTTGTTGTGATAAATCGTCTTTCCATCCCACCTAAGCCACGGTAGTTTGCCTGGCAAGAAGACACTGATCACAAAATCGTAGTTTTGGTAAGATACTTCATAACGAGTGCATTGTCGGTACAAATCTTAATCCTCATATTGTAATTTCAAGTACCTCCTGTGAGATGATCACCACTAGACTAAATTCAAAAGCTAAAGGAACTGACAAAATCTACCTAACCATATAAATAAATTAATAATGAAGACAGTTTAAAGTGGACATTCCAAATTGTTTAAGATCTAGGTTATTATATTTGATTGTTGACTCGTTAATGAACGATTTACTGGTAAACAAGTTTCTAAGTTTGCTGACACCCAAAATTTGTACTTCATTAATGTATATCTAAATATTTTGTCTGTTGGATAATGAGTCTGTTTTCCTAAAGTCTATTTGGTCAATATCCAAAGCCTTAATACAATGAGAGAAAATCTTCATGTCATTTCAAGTATCTTATCAAATCAGTTAGTATGATTACCAAAATAAAAAAGGGATTATCAGCAAAACGTATACAACAAAATCAACACATTGGCAGTAACAGTTAAAATGGGTGTATTCGGAATTCATTTTTTGACCTAAATGTTATTTTTATGTGATCATTTATTATCTGATAAATAACTCACAGTCATACCACAAAACTGAAGATCAAGCTACGTGATTAACAATTTTTTCACATGAAATCAGCTAAGCAAAATGCCGTTAATCGTTTTCATGAAGAAATTACCAGTTAATTACTTCATATACAAATAATATATTTCATTCCATACTATACTACAATGAGTTTATTCAGTTATAGATTTTTTCTTTTGAACTATATTCAGTTTGTTTTCAGGAGTCGTTACCATCAGTTCTCATTTTATACGCCTACCTCATTCTCCCCAATAACTTATCGAATAAATTTTTCGACAACAATAGTAACTAAACTGAACAACTAAATGACGAGGGATGTAAAAATACTTCGCAATATAATAGTTTTCATTATTTTATTTTCATGAAGTAACTTTATTTCCGTGATTTCCAACTGTGTAGTTTTCTAAAATCATCTTCTACGAACAAAATAAAAAAATATTTTCTCCAGAATACAATTATTAAGTTTTTGAAACAATTTAAGTATATAATATTTTAATAGTTGAGATCATGAGTCAGTTAAAGCCAGACCACCATGAAAAACCTAGAAGCACTGGACGGCCTCGGCAGTGGTCATCCACGATCCTGCCTCACGAGATTCGATCCCAGGACCTAACGGTCTCGCGCGCGAACGCTTAACCTTAAGACCACTGAACCGGCATCCAACGGTGTTGACGTCTAACTTAATGACTCGTGATCTCAACAACTAAAACTACTATAATAGCCACAAAATCCCTTCTGATATATACTATTTGTTTATAACAAAACTTGTCTATAGTTTTCTCAAAGAGGAATTAAACATCTACCGTAAGAAAATAGTCGACAAAAATAATTTGAGTTCAAGAGAATTATTTCAAACAATCTTATTAAGCTTGAACGAACTCAAGTTAAAACGTTTAAACAAAAGTCATGACAAATTATTTACTGAAATTGAAATTTATCACAGTTATATAATGGTGGTTAAAAGCAATTATAGACTTTTTACACAGTGAAAATTGTTTAAATGCCAGATACGCTAATTAGATATCTAATAATGACAATGTTTTACTTAAATGATCAAAATTAGGAACTGTTTTATAATAAGTCTAATGAAGAAGATGAAGAAAACGAAGTTTGATTATATATTCGACAGTTACTGGGGTTGTATTCCGAGTTGGTAATATCAGCTACATGTTTCTGTGTTAGTGACAATGTTCATATTACTATTCAAATTAAGTATAATTCATAAGATAGATGTAACGTACATATTATAAACAGTGCTTTAATGAACCTCATTCATCAATACTTAGACTAATTACACTCATTCTTACGTTTATACCATGAGAAAGATTGTTATGTGATGAAAAGATGAGGTGTCTAGTGGATGTTCATAAACGATAACCTTTGATGAAAAATACTATTTTTCGCTTTACACAAGGTCATTTATATTATGTGAAATTCGTGAAATTGTTTTGATATTTTATTCAATAATCCATTGGACAAGTGGATTGACTTTGAAAGAAGCTTGTGCTATATATATATATATATATATATATATATATATATATATATATATATATATATATATATATATATATATATATATATATATATATATATATATATATATATATATATATATATATATATATGGTTCACTTATCATCAATTCACGCTACTAACTTAAAATGCATATACGGGTCATCTGAAATTGTTGGTTTGTATGTTAATGTTAAAAATGTAACTTTTCTTGTTTTGTTTTAAATAACCAAGAGTAATGAATTCTAAGAAACAATTATTTTAATTTTTTTCAAGAATTAGTTTATACTTCGTTGGTCTTATTAATTTTTTGCCTTAGAAAACTATTTTAATATTGTAGCGCTAAACAATTCCTCATAGTAATGGCAAATGAACATCTGACATCAGCATTAACCATCTCAATTGTACTGAACACGACACTTAATGAAGGAGCTCAGTTCAGCGTTCACTTTAAATCAGTATAGCGTGGAATGCCTCTCCTCCAATATATATTCCCAGCTTAAATTCACACATCACGATAAGTTCGAATTTCTTCCAAATTTATCTTCTCACTTAGTCGTCTTTTTCCTCTCGTACCGACTTCAGAATCATTTTGTTAGGAGAACCTTGAAGAACAGTACTGTAGAACCCTAAGGCATCTGACTGCTCATCAACCTGTACCTTAGTCGACAGTAAGGTCCTGACCTTAAATTTCGGATTAAAAATGCCAACCGAGTTGTTTTAATGTATAGACATACATATAATTTATTATGTTCATATTATATAATATATTATCTATATATACTATTACGGATATATATAGTTTTTGACTGTTAGTTCTTTCCTTTGGGAGCTATATGTCTGAAGTTCACGTAAGAGTCCCCTAGATAAATGATCAGTTATCCAGTAGTTTATGAAATCAATCTTTTTATCAGAACAAGTACGAAGAGTAAGCCAGTTTATTAAATATAGAAAGATAGTTAGAAAGTGTAAAAGTAATGAAATGAAGGAGAGATGTTCCAAGTTGAAAGCAATGCACCAAAACATTGTCAGTTTGTTTAGGTTAGATAAGTGATAGTCTAACAACAAAAGTGTGGCTTTGGTGTCAGTGGATATAAATAGCATGGAAATTGGAATACATCCCAGAAGAAGATTGAAATAATTCGATTGAAAAGAACAGAAATGGAAACAGAAGTTATTTGTTGTGACAACACAATTGAAAGAATCATGAAGCATGTGAACAAAAACCTATGGAAGAGGTGCAAATGATATATTTAAAGTATAATTTCCATATTTTAGGTAGATACTCTGTAATTTCGTGTTCAACAATAAATTGCTCTCTCCCATTCAAATTCTTGTTTACCACATAGGTATTCGATTTGATTTTATTCTTGAATATTTTCAACAAGTACCTAAAATTTTTGATTAACGCTTTGGTCATATGACTCGCACAACAATCTCGTATTCATTTCATTGATTTTTCTAGGATCATTTCATTAAAAATAAGAGAAAATTATCACCTGATAAAATAAAAGGTACCAATCAAAATTGTTTA